TATACTTAAATATAAAATAATTTTTAATAGCCAATTTTCAAGTCAGGTCATAGACTCTTCAAGCCAAAGTGAAAAATGGTGCACCATATCCTACATACAACTAGTTCCCCATTTTATTTAACAGCTATAACAACTTCAAGATAGTGGTTCAATTCTTATTGAAAACACTTTCGAGCCTGGCAGATATCCCATTTTCGAACCAATAATTTGATAAAAAACATAGGTGAGAACTTCGATGAAAATATGTAGTAATGATGCAGGACATATATGAAATTACGATTTAGATAAGAATTTTGCACGCTTAATGATTAAGAGCAAATTAATTAAATCTTTATGATGATTTAAAAAATAAAATAAAACACAAAGAGTGGTAAACACAAGTTTAGGCCAAGTTACTTGCGAAAAGTAAAAATCACAAAACAACCAATTACTTTTGACGTTGCATACGAGATAAGTTTCAACAAGAAATCTCTAATCTAACAATAAGAGCAGTGCTATGAAAGATCTCTCACACAAGTCTCATAAACACTAAGCTTTAGCGGAGCATTGCAAGATTTTACATGAATTAATCAAAACCACAAGTAAGGATCAACGAAGAAGGTATGAGAGAAAGAAAGAGTTCACATTTGCCAAGATTAAACCTTCCCGCAAGCTTGGACAGCAGTTGGTGGCTGCAGGAACCTTTGGACAGCACACTTCTATGTCCCGAAAACTTCAGGCAGCAAGTGGAGATTTCTCCCAGCAGTTGGACAGCAAGGTGGACAGCTGGCGTTTCTGGACAGCACTTGAATTGGGCTGACAGCAGGTGGGAACCAATCTGGACAACAGTTTCGCTGAGTTAGGGAATTCTGGACAGCAAGGAAGACCTCTCGGAGATGCAGGACAGCAAGGTTGACTTGTTGTAATCCTTGGACAGCAGTTAGGAAAATTCCCACGTGAAGAAGTCTTGAGGAAAAGGCTTCTGAAAGGGGCGGCTAGGGCTGCTACGGGTTTTATTAAACCTGAAAATAAATTTCAGATTTAATTAGGAATGAGCTCGGGTTTGTAATTTGACTTCAAAGTATTGAGAGGGCAAGGAAAAGTTATTCCTAATTGAGAGGTTGATTGGAGTAATTAGTGGGAAGTGATTTAATGTGGTGAGAGAGAGGGGGGAAAGGGCCGGCCTTGGGAGAGAGAGGATGGGGAGATTGCATCCACATTCAATGAATGTGGACCATGGCATTAATTGCAATTGAGAATTAAATCTGAGATTTAATCTCAGATTTGGTGTGATTGGGTTTCTTTCCTGAAGGAATTAGACTTCATTAGAAGGCTTTTGAAATTCAAATTATTTTGAATTTGAATTCAAATTCTTTCCAAAATGCAAGGGGCCAATTATGAAAAGTATTAATGGGAGTTTTAAATGGAGATTTGGCAACCAGTCGATTGGTTTTGGGTGGAGGGTCCGGTGGCTTGAGGTGGTGGAGGAGGGTGGCTCTAGGGAAAGAAGGGGGTAGTTGGGATTGGCCGATGGCTTTGGGAAAGGACTAGGCCGGCGGTGGAGAGAGGCAAGGTGGGGTGTTGGCCAAGAGGGGAGGGAGGAGGGGAAGAGCCGGCGGCTTGTGGATGGGAGGGCTAAGGCCGGCGGAAAGGAAGGGGATGAGTGACAAAAGAAGAAATAAGGGAAGCGAGAATCACGAACCTGGACGCTTCCAAGGTTGGTGGATGATCCGTTTTCCCTCTCCTAGGATTTCTCCAAAGCTCTCAAAACTCTCACATCAAGAGAACAATACTACAACAACAACATCAAGCCTTTATCCCACTACGTGGGGTCGGCTACATGAATCCTTTTTCTCCATTGTGTCCTATTAAAACTCAAATTCTCGTTTAAATCTAATAAAGAAAGGTCATTCCTAATATTTTCTAACCAAGACTTTTTAGGTCTACCCCTACTTTACTTAACATAAGTCAAATCTAATACCTCTACTCTCCTAACCGGGTCATCGCAAGGCCACCGTTTTATGTGACCAAACCATCTAAGGCGACTTTCTCTAATCTTATCTTCTACTAGAGCTACTCCAACCTTTTCACGTATATGCTCATTTCGTATCCTATCTCTAAGGGTAAAGCCACTCATCCACCTGAGCATCCTCATCTCTGCCACACTTAACTTAGTATTATGCTTCTCTTTTAAAGGCCAACATTCGGTACCATAAAGCATTGCAGGCCTCACTACCATCTTATAGAATTTTCCCTTAAGTTTGAGGGGTACATTTCTATCACATAACAAGCTCGATGCATTCCTCCACTTCAACCATCCAACTTGAATTCTGCTGATAATATCCCCATCTATTTCACCACCATCACTCTGAACAATAGATCCAAGATATCTAAAACGTGTACTCTTATTAATGACTTGATCGCCCAAACTCACAATCCCCTCACTAGGTCAATTACTACTAAAATTACACTCCATATATTCCGTTTCAGATCTACTCAAGCGAAAACCTTTAGACTCTAAGGTTGACCTCCATAATTAAAGTTTACCTTCAACTCCCTCTCTAGTCTTATCAACAAGAAGAATATCATCAGCTAAAAGCATACACCAAGGTACATCCTCTTGCAAATGTCTAGTGAGAACATCCATGACTAAAGCAAAAAGATATGGGCTTAAGGCTTATCCTTGATGTAACCCAACCGAAATAGGGAAATACTTGGTCAATCCACCTTGTGTTTGAACAAAAGTAAAAGCTCCTGCATACATATCTTTAATGATTTGAATATAAGCATTATTGACTCCTTTCTTTTCAAGAACTCTCCATAGCACTTCTCTTGGAACTTTATCATATGCTTTTTCTAAATCAATAAATATCATATGTAGATCCTCCTTATTTTCTCTATATTTCTCCATCAAACCTCTTAATAAATGTATGGCTTCCATAGTCGACCTACCCGGCATGAATCCAAATTGATTTTGAGAAACATTAGTATCACGCCGCAACCTATGCTTCATAACTCGCTCCCAATATGCAGGAATTTTCTTTCATTATCATCATTAGTCCTCTCCCAAGAAGAGTGACTTAAATAGTCCAATACATGAAGGAAAAGACAAAAGACAACATTGCCCCTAGGGCTTACAAATAACTAATCCCTCAAGTGAGGGCATAAATGGAAAAGTACATAAATAAATCAAAATACATAAAATAACTCAAAATAAATCGGCGCAATCGTGGTAGTAGACCGTTGGCCCCGCCTCTGGTAAACTTTCCATGGCCTGATGTCCTCATCAAATAATGAATGACTTTATCAACTAATTGAAAGAGTTCAGATACGGCCTACGCATGTCATCAAGTATCATAGCAAAGTTCCACCTCAAATTTAGAGGTTTGTAATCAGAGAGAAAGATTGACCCTTCAATCATTCATACGTAACTTCGAGCTCTTCCCTTTTTATTTTCCTTGAACATATATATTGTGATAGATCCTACTCAATTTTCCTTTCTGAGTAGATATAGAATTGGAAATTTCACTCTTCTTGAAAAGATAAGGGGCTGGTGTTCAAAAATTTGTAATCCAAAGTACTCACATAAAAAAAGAAAAAAATGGCATTCTCATGAAATAGTTGAAAGAGTCAAAAAGTCCCCCGAGCTGCATTGAACAAATATGCACAAGTGACATCCGAAGATATTTAAATGGGTGAAAGAGGAGAAAATAAGTACCATAGACATAACACCCGGAAAGAGGTAGTTATTTGAAATAGTTATAATAATTTTCTTTAAAATATATCTGAAGTTTTAATGGTTCTTTTGATATATCTTTTAGAAATAATTTGTAGATAGTAATGTTGGTGAACAGAAAGTTTAAATATTTATTCTTACCTCGTTAATTTGAGTCTCCAGGCCGAGTCATAAAACTATTAACTAAGGTCAACTTGAAATTATTCTCTTAAGCAAACATCCACCCTACGTCTACAAGATCCCTTTTGCTGGCGTGACCATAGTTGTTGATGATAATTGTAAGGTCAAGTTAGATCAACTACTTTTTTTATTAAGCCGAGGTTCATGACTATCTAGAAAGATAGAGCCATTAAATTTTGTTCGGGTAGGTCATCATTCTCCAACTATCTAATTTAAGCTAATAGCGATAAATTTTCCCTTTTCAATCATAAACCAAAATTGTTACAATTATATGCTAAGCACTTAATGGTTAGCCTCAATCAAAAGTTCTCCTGATCACCAAGAACGCCAGTTAACCATGCAATATCGCTCTAATGAGAAATCTTAAATGAGATTAAACCTCGCAAAATGAGGGTAAATACTTAGATGATAACTTATCTGCAATCAAATCTTTCTTCTACTTGGACCAAAACACTTAGACAAGCCAAGCACAAAATTTCAAAGCCCACAATTTAAAACTTTTAAAGTTGATATTCTTAGTATATTCCATTTTTTTTTAAAATAAGTCTTTTGTTATCAAGTATGCACGGACTAAAAACAATATAAACACAATCCAAGCTAGCCAATTATGCCTAATGGTACATTTATAACTTGATAAAAGCAACCAAATTAGTTTTCCGACCGGCTCCATCAGATTGAATCAGTCTAATAATTGCACCCAGTCTAATCTCAAAAAATGTATCCAATCAAATTTGGATATCAAGATAACGAAAATTAACAATATAAGGTAAAGAAAAAGTTGACAAGGTAACACAGTAGTTTTCCAGCATATACTATCAACACATAAAGATATTAACAATGTCATCCAAAAAAATCAAACTATAGAACATACATCAAGATATAATAAATTTCTCTACAACAAAATAAATTTGAAAGTCTTGTCTAAAGGAACAATTAAGATGAAATTTTCAGAAGATTTAGAAAATAAGTCAAAAGCTACAAGAAAACAGCCGTAATTAAGGCTTCAGATCATCAATATCACATATTTAGCAATACAAGGTTTAACAACAGTAATGATCAAAAGAAAAACAGACGAACTGCACTTGCAAAAAATAGGAATACTGACAGTTGCATAGCTCTCTTCTCTAAAAGTTCGGCAAACACCTAATAAAAGTTTATCTAACTTCTGAAGCGTCCGTTCAAACCAAGCCTGGTTAATAAACAAAAAAAAAATTGAAGAAAACAGAGAATAAGAAGTTTGAAATTTAGTATAGAAACAGAAAACAAAATATTGCATAAATTTAGTCTGCCAATTTCCGAAAGATGGGAATATAAAAGATTTGACAAACATTAGGCAAGAAGGATTAACAAATCTTAAATCCAATCCTATTTGAATAGAAAAATTCTTTCTTATTAAAAAAGTCATAAAAGAACTCACCTCGATCCCACTACTCATTTCTTTAATAGCAGAAAGCTCTAAATAGCCATCCAAAAGTTGTAAATATTCAGGTAATAAAGCAAATGCCTGGACATAAAAGCACAAAGATTTGCAAATTGTACAAAACAGTACGAAGCTCATTCAAAGGGGACGAGTAAACCTAATAAATAACAGTAGAAATTTAAGAAATATCATTAGAAAACGTGTGGTATAGAAAAGACCTGGAAAAAGTTTCCCTCCTTAACTAGACCTTCCAATTCCAATTGCATATCTAACGCACGGTGAAGTTCAGCAAGAATTGGAAGCATTTCCTGCAAATATGTATCACCGCAAGATAAACTTTCCAAATCCCCATGTATCTACGAAATAGTAAAACTCTCACCCCTGATTCCCACAAATTAAATCAATGAGACATTTATATGCTAAAACAAGATTTCTTCATAATTAAACTTGTACTGTGGGCAACATAAAATATACTTTAATTAGTTTGACAGTAGGCTAAGTACAACAACAAAAGAAGTGGGATCAGCAATTCTGCCAAGGACATGCTGAAAAATAACAGGATTCATGTGAACATGCTAAAAAATAACAGGATTCATGTGAATATTGCTTACAATTAAATTAGAGTTAACTAGTCACGATTAAGTAGCCCTAGGGTTAGTCAAGGATTTGTCTATGAAATCAAGCCTAATCAAGTTAACTTGATTAATTAAGGGTCTGATTAGCATAATTAGTCTTAGTTTTTAAATTTAGGCTTGATTAATCGTTTTTTATTAAACTAATGGAACAAATTTAATAGGCCAGATCTGTATAGATCTAGCCTGATAAGCCATCTGCTCCTTATTGTAATGCTACGAAGCACTAGTAGCTAAAGCTATTGCTCGCCTTCACCTTCCTTCAACACTTGTCAATCACAACGTGGGCTCCACATATTAACTATGATTGATACCTATGTCAAATACACCAATACATGCAAAGAGCATTAATAATCCCTCAACCGCATATAATATTAACCAAGCCGATCAGGCAAATAAGTTGAAAACCCAAGTTAGACATGGTTGACTCAAAGTCCTAGCAAGCCTCTCCATATGCATTTTAAAAACTACAAGAAAAATCAAATTCCATTAAATAGGTCATTTTCTTTATAGGGTGAGATCATAAGATCCATTGTTGGGCCAAATCCAATATAACAGGCAAGTCCGACATGCCGACCGCACAAAGGCCAAAAGCTCATAAACCTCCATCCCCTAAGCAACTCACAAATAAAGCGATAAATCTTAATATTGGAGTCAAACTAACTCAAAACACCATAAGCATGTCAAGAATCCAAATGAGAAATCTTGAGCTTTATCCTCATCAATGTTATAAGTTCCACCTATAAGACATCCAATGGATATAAGCCTAACCTTAATTAACTGATCCTGTACAAAGCCACTAAGTTTATCGAACCAACTCAATTAAATGGTATGTCATGTAGTTGTAAGATCAATTACTGCTCTTTCCCAATGCTCAATATTGTAAGTCTCACTTATGGGTCTTCAAATAAATATAAGAAAACCTAATAAATCTCAATCGATTCAAACAAAACAAACCCATCAAAACAAAAAATAAAAATAAATAAATAAATAAAAACAAATCATGTATAATCATCGGGCCTTCCCACGGAAGTAGGACTCAAACTAAACTCGAGCCAGTTCCCATGATAACTAATCCATGAATCAAAAATCAAACCAATAACAAAACCACATGTGTCTTAAATAAGCTTCTTCGAGCTAAACCAAGACTCATGGGCAACTAGTAGCCATGTCATACCTCTAGACTCCTACCAGTTATAACCAGTGCCTTTAAACTAAAAGTGTCCAAGCAATGTGCCCATGAACTATTTAATGAAAATAGATACAATCAGCCATCTGTTTTGAATGAGTTGATGCCAACCTACAAAGCACATTTTTGACACATAAATATACATAGATCTTCTTAAGATATCTAAAAAAAGGCAAACTATGGTTGTTAATCAAGCTCCACATATTAAGGCTCAAAGCCCTCTAATGTTGTTACATTGGATCCAATAATAAACCTATGAAAATGGAACATTTGAATCTGGATCAAGTCTACGTCCTAGCCATTCTCTACAGAATTAAATTTTAGTAATATTTTATCTAAATTGAGCTTAGCAACCTCTTTAATTTAAAGGGTTCTCTCATGACCAAGAGGGATAAATAACCATCGGGGTTTATAACAATAAGAAATCATTACCCAAAATTTAAATAAACTAAGCATCCTCATTAGGAGAGATTTAACTTAAATAAACTTAATCTACCTCAAAAACAAAACAAAAAAAAAGAAACTACACCCATGTTTTTATGACATCGAGGAGGCACCAGGTTGGGGTGGTTTCTCCTAAATAAACTAATTTTTAACTACTTATTTCGGAGAATTTCTATCTTCATCTTTGATTTCTTGAGCCTCAAATTGTTTGTGCCAATGTAATTTTAAATATAATGAATGTTCAGTCCATAATAGTGATAGTTGCTCTTTGATTTTGTTAACTAAACACAAACAATCATGTGGCATCAAGTGTTACCATTTAGTTTAGCACTATCTCTGAGGCAAAGAGGCATGTTCCCACCACCACCCAAGCTATTGAAGCTACACAAATCAAGGAGGCTCCTATCAAAACAACTACTAAATTAACAACTTAGGCACATCAACCAGGGGAGGAACCCTAAGGTGATTATCCCCAATAAATCAAGGGTAACAATGTTGCTACTATTAGGTTGGTCCTAAGAGGGCCTCAATTTTCTCAAAACTTTCAACTACCATGACCATACAAAAAGGAGGGCTTGTAAACCTGAAATCAATTTAACAATCACTGGCCCTTTTAGTGACCCATTTATAAATTCTACAATGTTATTAGATCTACTCTTCACAATAAAGAAGACATGATGTAAAGCATCCTTTTCTTGTACCAAAATACATAGGACTAGAATGACAAATGATTGTCTCAAAATGGAGCACCCAAAACTTTGTCTAACACCGCAAAGTGCAATAGATGGAGGCCAACATCCCCGACAATTAATGACTTTAAATTGTTATGTTGGGTAAAACAAAACAACAGAGCTAAAATGAAAGTCGTTTTTTGAGGCATCTCAATTGTCTAACTCAAAAGTACCACATAAGGAGTATGTATCCTCTTTCATTTGTAATTCCTCTAAGTCATCAAAGAATGAGGACTCTGATACGCCTTAGGTTTCACAAATTAGGGTTTGCCCTAATTTTCCTTCAAGATGAAATTTCTCCTCCAAATCCAAGAAAAAATCAACACAAGAGAGATGAGAGGAAGAACAAGAACATTTGCATTCAAAATCCAAGAGAAACAAGATACAATTTGTCCACTTCGAGAAGGACAAGATCTCCCACTACAAACCCTAGAAAAAACAAGAGAAAGAAACTAAGGAGGCTAAGAGAAAACTCAAATCTTGCATAACCCTAGAAATCTCCCTCTATTCCTTACTTAAAACAAGCAAAAGACCCAACCAAACCCACTAGTGGGCTCGTCGCCGCCCCCGCGTCGTCGCGCTGCGTGCTGCGTGCTCGGAGCACCGCCTGCGCTCGCTGCGCTGTCGCGTCGCTGCGGCACCGGAACGCTCACGCACGCGTTCGCTGACCGCACCGCTCTTCGCGCACGCCGCCGCCGCTGCACCGCTGACGAGCTGACCCGATGCATCGCTCGACTTCGTACCAAACCCTAAACGGCGTCGTCGGGTCGGGTACCCGAACCCGAAGGGGTCGGGTTGAGCGAAACCCGAAGCCGGAGTCTGGTTCGGTTTTCGAAAACAAACTCTTTTATAAAACGGGTCGGTATGACCCGAACCCGAATTAACAGCTAGGCAGTTACGAGTCGGTCGGTTCGACCCGTACCGAATTGACAGGTCTACGATCAGAATGTCGAAACTTTCGATCCGACAGGAAGGAAGGTCGACGATGGAGCCGACAGTCGATCGGCCACAGAGGAGGCTGAGAAGCGATCACAGAACGAGCTCTGCTCTTGCTTCCGATCAGGAATGTCGGAATTCCGATCGATAGGAAGGGACGTGCTGACGGAGAGATAGGAAGGGGTCGTGTGAGAGGAGCCGAACAGGATTTTGGTTGGAGGCGTTCGGATCGAGGGTGTTTGCTTGGTCGTGATGATGGAATCCGGACCCAGAGACGAGAGGGAGTCGGAGAGGAGCTCGTGATTTCGCGAGAAGAAGCTGAGAAAAAACCAACCGACCCAAGCTTCATGTTTTGTTCCTTTTAACGACGAGAAATAAGACGACGATCGCGCAAGTGCGAGAATAGCCTGGAGATGACCGAGCGGCGCCGAATGCACTAGGATTATGCAGGATTTGGAGGGCCTCGGCGGGATTTGCGAAGAGGTATGATTTTTTTTTTTTTTCATTGTTCATGGAGTCAACAGTAAATTTCAAACTAGATGGTTGAAGTGGAGGAATAATATATAAAGCTTGTTGTGTGGAAAGAAATCCCCCTAATTAGGGAAAATTCTATAAGTGATGGTGAAACCGTGCAATGCTTTATTGGGGTAGAATGTTGTCATTAAAAGAGAAGAGCAAAATATTAAGTAATGTTGCAAAGATGAGGTGCTTAGTATATGTATGGTTATTACGTCTTAGAGACATGATTAAAAAAAAAACATATTACATTTGAAAAAGAGTTGGAGATAGCTCTTAGGGAGGATAAGATTAGAGAGATCGTCTTAGATGGTGGTCAACATAAAACGACGGCCTTCCGATAGAAACCCGATTATTGAAGTAGATGATTTAGATTGCTTATGTTAAGGAAAGATAGAGATATAGAACCTAAAAAACTTGGTTAGAAAAATATTAGAATGACCTCCCTTATTAGATTTAAATTGAGAATTTGACTTCTTAAGCATAACAACTTCATGTAGCCACCCCACAGTGAGGGATAAAAGACTTGAATGTCTGTTGTTGTGTTGTTGTTTTGTTGGTTTGTTAACATAATATGCAGGAATGATTAAAGGGAAAGGTCCACACACCCGTAAGTCTAAAAGGAATGTTCCACTTTTCTCATAATTTTATTGCTAATAATTATAGAGGTTACTTTTCTTCATAATTTACATCACCAATGCTCAATAAATAATGAAAATTGATTAAAAATATTCTTCATAATACCGAAGATGCCCAATTATTCTTCCAATTTATTGAAAGTAGCTATAAAGGAGAGTCTATGATCGACACTTCCTTTAAAGAGGGTATGCAGTGTCGGACATGGAGACACGTCCGACACC